ACATGGTCAACAATAGGATAGTAAATATGGTACAAATAGTTTAACGTCGAAGTTGTACGTATGCATGATTGCATGCATACGATATTATATATATATATATATATATATATAGCTTACAAAATGCAAAAAGTATTATAATTATTTGGAATATTGTGGTGTAGGCATTGCTAGCAATGAAGCCAATAGGGACAGTGTTCCCGAGGAGTCCAGATGCTCTTGCAACACCACAAAGTCCAGATTATCATAAATACATCATGCTTTCACTAGGCAATGGGGCTTCACAGATAGAGAAGAAGTACGATGATAAAGTGGCCTCAAAGTGGGGGATTTTGGGCTAGCTTTACAAGGATGGTCATTCCCCTTTGGTTGATGCTTTTACATTTCTTATAATCCTTAGCAATTAGACCTTCATTTTTCCTAGGCAACATTCCTTACTTGGCATGGAAGATTTGCAAACTTACTATCAGAGGAGCGAAGACTGCGCAAGGAAAGATTACAACGGTGGTCCTCCAATTGATTAAAACAGATATTAATTATTTGTGTTTTTGTCAAACAACTTGTTATATTAGAACTCAACTGCTCAATATTTAAAGCCCAAATCCAAGCAGAATCATATATATTGTGACTTTATACTTCTGGTGCAAGTTTATTAACCTAATTCTTATATCCTCCATTGGTTCTTACTCATCAAATCTCCATTTTATTTGAAAATGTTGTGAGTTCACGTTCAACTACCCTTCTTTCACTAGCTAATAAAGATCAACACATCTCCATTTTATTTGAGGATGCATGTCATACAGAGGAAGATATTTGAAAGCGAGCTATTACTTTCAGTAAGAAAAAGTCATTATGTGTTGATCTTTAGTGGATAAATAAAAGAGAAATGGGAGTCAAATGACTATTTTAGAGTGTTAGTAATAGTTCTCTTTTGTAGAAGGTATTGAGAATAATAGAATTTTATGTCTAGGGTGTCGTTTTTATTGAAATATATTGAAAACATGTTGGCAACAATAATATTAACACATTATCAATAATAAATTAATAACCATTGTTGTATAAAGAATGAAAGGGTCGAATGACTATTTTAGAGTGTTAGTAATAGTTCTCTTTTGTAGAAGATATTGAGAATAATAGAATTTAATGTTTAGGGTGTCGTTTTTATTGAAATATATTGAAAACATGTTGGTATATTTTGTTGGCAACAATAATATCAACACATTATCAATAATATATTAATAACCATTGTTGTATAAAGAATGAACGTCTCTCTTGTAGCCAGACTAATAGATTAATCTATGTAAGTTTATAGATATGACACTTTTAATTACTCTTAATTGTTGTAAAACTAACTTTGAGAGAAGTGTGAAAGAGAGAGGGTCGACACACAGAGAGAGAAGGCTTTTAAGTATATGAGAATTGTGTCTTTGCCCATGACCTTGTACCTTTATTATACTATTCGTGATGAGCTTTCTTGCCTTACAAGTAATACAAAGTCTAAGAGGATGTGATCACCAAATTCTATTGGGATTATACTTTAAGTTTACACAATCACATCCCTAACTAAACACACGGTCTACAAAACTCCCCTTTAAGTGTGTATAACTTAAGAAGTAGTCGCATTAAGTCTTTATGATTAAGAGATGACGGTTGTTGTCGTCAATTTTTGGCAGGTACAATAATTGCTTATCACGAGTCTCTTTGTGGGGTGCATATCAAAATAATCTCACTAAGACCTAGCTATGGTAAACCCAATAGAACAAACCCGCAGTCTAAGGAGAAAATGTGAATTAATGCAGTATGTCGATGTTTCACATCTTCATGATGATCATTAACACACACAAGGGTACGACCAACTCAGAATAGGTGCCTCGTTAAAACCTCATCAAGTTAGCAAAAACCCAATAGGAAAAATTGCTCATGATCGTAGGAAAAAGAGTACATTAAGGCCATTCAAACATGCTTCAATATACTTCCCCTAAGTTCGACAAAACTCCCTATGAGAACTATTAGTAATGCAAATCTAAAATTTTACGCATTTCAAATTTTTGAACAAGCTTCTGAAAGGTAAACTTTGATAATAACTTTGTGAAAAGGTTAGCAAGAGTGTCTTGAGATCAGATATGCTTGACTTCAATGTTCTAATGCTTTTGTTGCTGATATTGGATGTATGCCTAAAAGCAATAAAGATTAGTGGATTGCTTAAGGTAATACAAGGATTAGTCCATGATCTAATCATGGGGCAAGATCACTATAGGTAAATTACCAATTTAATCTCATTAATGAGTCCATAGATAACGGTTATATACATATGTAAGAGGTAACTTATAAGGTAAAGTTAAACAAACCCTATTTGAATGTGTGTATCCTAAATATTGTTCATGTTCGTTCAATTGTGCGAGCACTTGCTCAGTTGGATTGTTGATGGATTCGAACTGAGTTGCACGTAGACTTCAGGTGAAAGATTTACGAGTAGAACCTTGCGAGGTGGCATTGGGCCATGTGGAGCCAAACATGTCTTTACTTTCTAGCTTGAAGCTCTTTGTGAACTAGGTCCAGGTTTGGTGAATTCGCTTAGATACACTTTTCCATGAATCTTAGGATCATCTCGTTGTTAGAGTTACTGGCTTAACCAGAGATGCTCTTGTCATGTAAACCTTGGTAGGTTATGTTGTCTCTTGGAGCTCTGCGAACATGTCGGAACTTCTTGGCAAATAACTCCCACTGTCTAGATGGGTTGTTTCATGTCTTCTCTTTTTGTGGTCCCACATATGATTAATGGGCATGTTGTCCATGTGAATCTTCATTGTAACTTTTCTTTCCTTTAAGTATTCTCACTAGTCTTGCTACCTCCCACCACGAAGAATTAAAAAGAAGGAAGAAAACAACTTTCGTCTTTCCATTCATTGCCAACTTTCCATTTACTCTTCATTCTTTTTGTTTTTGCTACTATTGTAAATCTTATCTTCTAGCGGATATAAAGGGCATATCCTTCAAATTCGCAACTTTATTTGACAGAAAAATATTTGTTGGTTACTGATATTTTATTATAATGCAGACATGTAGTGTTGTAATAGTGCAAAATGAATTGAAGAGAAGGATTAAATTGGAATCGTGGGTTGGATAGATAGTGTAGGTCTAGCGAGTTTGTTGTAGGGATGTACCCATATACTTCAAGTCACAACTAATGGATGATGGAATGAGTCATGTTGGTTTAGAATCTATGGATCGAGAAGTGGAATTACTTCGATGCGAGTTGGGTTCATCGTCTTAGCTTGCGCGACACTTGCTGCTCAAAGTTGCTGTGTCTGAATTACAGTTGCTTCTTATTTTGTACAAATTGCGGCCTTCCTATGGGTTTTCCCAGCTTTGATTTTCTAAGTGTCCTAGTTGCTATTGAGAGATCGTTGGCTATCTCTTGAATCAAATTCATGTACAATTTTCTGCTAAGGACGCGATTAAATTGCTAGAGAAGAACAAATCAACTCATCTGAGTGTGATAATTAATATCATGCATATTTGCAATGTATTAATCATGAGATAGTTGCCGTGCACAGAGATTGCTTCAGTTTAGCGTAGACGTCCATTTCAATTCCCTTCGTTTGTACATGGTAGAGTGATTTGGTTGGGGGAATATGAGTTCTCTCAATGAAAACACCAATTGTTGGAACCAAATTCGTGCACATCCACCAATTGACGAAATTTAGTCGGACTAGCCCATGATCTCTGATGAGGGGAGAATGGGGTTGATTGGAGGGTGTAGTTGAATATGAATAAGACTGCTTACATATCTCCGGGAAGGAGAGTCAAACCATGCGTGTAGTTCTATGAAAGAATGAAAGGAACTATCCTGACGAATAGCTTATAGCAGGGCGTTAAGGAGATGAGTTCTCCATCGACACGTCTGCGCGTACACGGCGACGTAAGAGCCTCTGCTAGGCACTGAGAGAATATGTGTGTTGTAGAGAATATTAGACTTAGGGAGAAATAGATTTCCCCTGATAAATACCTAGGCTAGTGTCTTAATAAGGATCTTGAGAGTTCTTGCAGAGAAAGTAATCTTCATCAAATCTACAGACTATCTAGGGGAAATCTAGGATAAGATACCCAATCTTCTTAGAATCATGATCATGTTACCTAATCCTCAAGATATCCTAATTTGACCTTAATTAGGATTGTCCTTACTTGAGGGACAAGTAATATTTTTAATAGGTTTTTAACCCTAACTTGTCGGACTACGCTTGATGGGCTTTGTGTATTCCGATCCTTTTTGCCATCAATCATGGGTCTAGAAAATGATGGTCCCACAACAGCTCTCAGCCAAACTGCCATTTCATCATCAGCTTTAACAACGGGGATTGATACGGATAGAAATTAAGAGAGCACTCAAATGGGTACGCATCGCCTACGTTGGCTACCGTGATTGCTGGTTTGCCTCCAGCAACGACGACAGTGTGCTACTGAGCTACTTGCAATGATGATGGCGGGTGCCTTGTGATTAGCAGCTGCTGGTGCTACTGGTGATAAAGATGGCGATTGGGTCCGAATTTGGAGTGTGGGTTGCATAAGGATTGGGAGAAAAGGGAAGACAAAAGAAGGGGGAGAAGCTTTGATGACAAGGAAAAAGTAAAAAGATAAAAAGATAAAAGCAAGAAAAAGATAAAAATAATATCAAACTAATATTACAGTTTTATTAATTTTTTAATCACAAATATCTGAACAATTTGTTTTTAGGGTTTGTGAATGCATTTGGACGGCTCACGATCGTAATAATTACCTATTACCTGATTATCTGGGCAATTATCGGGTAAAGGGTGGATTTGCTCTCAAAGGTAACACCAGCATTTCCGAACCCTCTGTCCTCTAATTAGCATCCACGTGGCAAAACCATGAAGAAAGACCTCCGGTTCATCCACATTTTTTCTACATCGTGTCCTCCCTAATTTCAGAGAATATTTTCCCCTCCGCGCCTCCACCACCTCTCTCTCTCTCTCTCTCTCTACCCTTTGTCTCTCTAGACATTTTCCTTCGAACCGAACAGCCCAAATTTTTCCCGGAAAATTCCAAAAATGGACTCGACGCCAATTAACTGGGAAGCCCTAGACGCTCTCATCATCGATTTCGCCAAATCGGAGAAGCTAGTCGAAGACTCCTCCACTTTTACGACGTCGTCTTCCCCGCCCTCTTCCCCTCCGTCTTCCTCTTCCCCCTCCTCTATCTCCTCCTCGTCGTACCACTCGAGATTGATCATTCGTCAGATCAGACGGTCGCTAGAGGCCGGTCACATTGACGCCGCCATCGTCTCCTCCGCTCCCACGCCCCTTTCATTCTCGACGATCACAGGCTCCTCTTCCTCTTGCAGAAACAGGTACTCCAGCTGTTTGACTGCCAATAAAACGCTGGAAAGTGTTGTCAATTGCAATTTCTAGGGTTTAATTTGTGGAATTATTAACATTTGGCTATTTCTTTTGAAGAGGTTTATTGAGCTATTGAGGAGAGGGACCACAGAGGATCGTGATTCTGCAATCAATTGCTTGAGGAATGCTCTTGCTCCGTGTGCCCTCGACGCTTATCCGGTACTTAAAAACTTAGTTCTTTCTTCTTTGTATTGAGCCTTGTATAGTTTGTTGCTTTCATTAAGCTTGTATTGGAATTTATTACTAGGAGACTAGAGGGGTTAGCTATAGCTCTATATAACGTTTATCTCAAAATTGAGCAAATATAGAAACTGGGCTTGTGCTGTTTTACTAAATGTTTGACGCCCGTTGCTTCTGTCGGTTTGATTATGGATTCTGATGGATTGTTTTATTGCATTTTAAGGAAGCTTATGGGGAATTCAAGCATGTACTGCTTGCTTTTATATATGACAAAGAAGACCACTCTTCTCCGGTAGCGACTGAGGTGGGATACTATTTGTAATGTATATGCAGCTACGAGCAAAGATTATTTTTTAATTTACTCCCATACCATACATTTAGACTAAGGTAAAAGGGGTGTTTGCATTATGCTTTTCAGTGGTCTGAAAAGAGGAGGTTTGACATTGCCGGATTAGTTTCCACTGTCTTGAGAGCTTATTTACATGCTTATGATCCGGTCTTCTCGATGACCTTGAGATATTTGATAAGGTGTTGCCTCTTTGACTTTGGTTTAGTTAATTGCAATAAATATTATTATGTTCATTGGGTGTGAGTGATTGAGTGCCTGTGTGTGGGGATGCAGCACAGGCATTAAATTCATTGTTGTTGTCTTTTAAAGTTATTCCTGTCTTATGCAGCATCCACAAAGGATTTTGTTTTCGTCAAGGAATTTCGTCGCCTATTTCAGATCTTACACATAGATTACTTCTTGAGGAGCGTGACCCCCCTGCAACACCCCAGGAGAGCTTGTTTGAAGCACCTCCTTTTGATGAGGTGAGATTATCTAAAATGCAAACATTTTTCATAGACATTACAGGAGGTAAAAATTGAATTATCATATAGGTCAGCATCTTGCGGGTGATACATGTATCCACATATTTTTTTCTTATCTTCATGTGTTTGACAATTAAGTACTAAAACCATCAATTACACTACTAACCATGTCTTTATATAATCATGTTTGTATTGGAAAACCAGGTGGACATACAAGCCCTTGCACATGCTGTAGAGCTCACGAGACAGGGAGCTGTAGATAGTTTGAGATTTGCCAAGGGTGATTTATTTCAGGCGTTTCAGGTTAATAATTACTTACGATGTACTTATTATTATAATTACCTCAAATTTGTTTTTAATTTTTAATTTTTAATTTTATTACATCATTTATTCACAATTCGTGGGAGAGTGGCCATGCATGCAGGCTTTTTCTTTTGCCACCCAGATTCATAGCTCTTAATTTTGATGCAAGACATACTTTCATACATACGAGTAAAAGAACAAGAAGCATACTGTTAGTTGTTTGGATGAATGAAAAATGCATATTTAAAGAGTAGGGACGGATCTGATTTTAAAATATAGAAGTTATAGTACTGTTACTCGACTACTTTTTACCCAACCCTAGAAACATGATTTTGGCCTTGTTATGCTTGCATGCTAGTGCTTCCCTGGGAGAATGCACCTAATGATGCCAATGCACATTATCTTCCTGCTCATATATCATGTAACTTGTTTAAGAGGTTCATTGAAATGTTATAAATGGTTGGCTTAGATATTTTTGAGTCCACTAACATTAAAACTTGTGCTTATATACTGCAGAATGAATTATGCAGAATGAGATTTGATGTTGCCATGCTTGACGAGCTGGTTCGTGAGTATTGCGTTTACAGGGGCATTGTGGATTCTGGTTTTGCAACTTCTTCTGGTGAAACTTGTGAACTTTTTCTTTCATCCTTATTTTCTAATGTTTTGTTAAGTGAGCGTGTGAGCTTGTTTTTTTTTTTTTTTTTTTTCTTTTTAATTATTATTATTTTTTATATTTTAACTTGTCAGACTCTGACTACTACTGATCTACTTATCCAATGCAGCGTCTGGGGTGCAAAGCCTTTCCAAATCTTTGAAAGTTGATCAACTGGTGATTGGGCATTCTCTGTCAAGAGACTGTTCTCATGAGGTCGATTATGGAGCCAGCAAACATTCTGATGGTGAGATTTCTGTTAGTAATGATAATCTAGGTGGTTCCCCTGGAAAGAGTTCTGATGTGACGAGCATGCAAGGAATGGATATTGAAATGCGTTACGTTTGTGAGCCATCGAGCACTAATGAAGATTGTAGCACCAGTGGATCACATCAGCCTGATAAACTCAGAGTTTTACAAAGAAGACCCAGTGCACCTGCAGAAAGAAGTAAACGCAAGCGATGGAGGGGAAGACAAGATGATCTTGATTTTACTCCTGGCATTTCCTGTAAGGAGATGAGTAAAGATTCTAAAGAGCTTAGCACAATTGACCTGGTTTCCGATACGTATTCATCAAGGGAACAGCAGGTTCTGTGTTGTTCGAATTATTTGTCATTTAGTAGTGGTAGCATTGGTTGTTATTTGACAATGGTGTTGCTCTGCAGGCTTCAGAATGCTTAAGTTTAGGCCTTGACAATGTGGAGGACAAGTATGAGATTGTGATTGGGATGAAGGAACTAGCTAGCAAAGGAATGGCTGCGGAGGTTGTGGAAGAAGTTAATTCTATGGACCCAAATTTTTTTGTACAAAATCCTGTTTTGCTCTTCCAACTTAAGCAGGTACTTAGCTCATGTATTGTAAATAGCTTGAAGTAATTGTTTTTAAATCATACTATAATATACAAAACTTTACATTCTGATAATTTCACAAACTGTAGGTTGAATTCCTTAAGCTTGTCAGCTCAGGTGATCATTCTACTGCTCTGAGGGTTGCATGCTCTCATTTAGGTCCTTTAGCTGCAAGTGATCCAGCTTTACTGAAGCCCTTGAAGGAGACTTTGTTAGCACTGCTCCAACCTAATGAAGATGCACTTGGGAAAGGCTTGCCCTTACATGCTCTTGCAACTTCACTCCAGGTATGCCATGACTTACTGTCATACTAAAATTAATAGGAACTGCCGATGCTTTACAGAACCACCATTAAATCGTTTTTCTATCTGGATATGAGTCTGAAATGTGATTTATACAATGTACCATGGCATAAGTGCGAACTAAACATTTGCTTCTGTCTGTGATAGGTTGCGATTGGTAGGAGGCTTGGCATTGACGAGCCCCAGCTTATGAAAATAATAAGAGCAACCCTTCACACCCATAATGAGTGGTTTAAACTTCAAATGTGTAAAGACCACTTCGAAAGCCTATTAAAGATTGATTCCTTGAAAGAAGTTAATACTCCTTCGCTTGCTGCTGCCGCTGCTTCCAAGTCAAATGCAGATAGTTGCTCTAATGGGTCTTCCCAAGTTACAGTATCTTCAAGCACAAGGATGGTGGAAGATGGTATCAGCCTGACTCAAGTGTCGTCTAGAGATGTTGTGTGTGATGAAAATGCCATACTAAAAGTAATGGTGAGTTTTATGAACTGAACTTGCATATCTTTATCTTTCGAAATTGTTCCACGTGGAAGCATATTCAATTTTTAGTAGTGAATTTTCCCTTTTGACGAACACGACAGTTTCACTTCCTTGGCCTCGTCAAAAATAAACATGTGCACTTTATTGTCATTAGCATGTTCAGTCAGCCGTACGGCATAAGATTTCTTATAATCCAATTCGACTATTTGCACTTGTATAAATAAATTTGACTGTTTTAATATAAACCACATCTTCTAAGTTCAAACACTGGTTCGTTCACTTCAACTAGTCTCACTGTGGGTGGTTGCAGGAATTTCTAGCGTTGCCCAGGGCTGATGCTATCCATCTTCTTGCACAATACAACGGAAATGCCGAGACAGTCATTCAACAGATATTCGCATAGTTTGTATTGTAGCCGGTTTTGCAGATACGTATAATTAATTTTTGCTTATTATTTGATTCAATTTGTGCATAGAGTTTCTAATTTAGGTAGACAGACATACGCGTAGTTGTTGAAACAGAGGTACAGTACGGTAGCATTTATTGTTAACACTTAGGCTGTTCTTGTACATTGTCATATGGGGATAATCGTCTGAGAAGAGCAGCCATTAATAAAACACTTGGTTGATATAAAGACGAAGAGGTGCTTGTTGGATAGTTGGATTGATTTTATTTCATGGAATTTTCTCTGTATTTTTTTGTTTGTAAGTTTTGAGGTGCGTCGATGCGCAGGAATGGCAAAGGTCTTGTTTTCAGAATTTTCTATGGTGCTTTGTTGTGTTGGGTGTTCTGGATGTTTATCGTCACATCTTTGGTCAAAATCATAAAACTAATATCTAACGGTGAAAATGTCCGGAATATTTTATACTCGAGCACAATAAAATTTTCGCTTGTTTTTTATTTTTTGTCATTCTGGGAAAAAGATTAGTATTATGAAATTTCACTAAAACAAGTATCTAAAGTACAATTATCTTTCATCCAGCTTGAAGACACAATTGGAACCTCACACCTTGTTTATGTGATATAGGCTGCTGTGGTTATTATATAATTATTATTCTGAATTACCAAATATATTTTTCAGAAATATAATTCCAATTGGAATTTACAATTTACTTTGGTGATTTGGACTTGGGAAGTTTCTTATGATGATGAATCCATGACTTAAAAATTACGTAAAAATATTGGATTCCGCATTAGCTAACAACAAATAAAGTCGGTAAGAAACACTTAAAGAATCAAATTATAGAAAAGACATTACCAAGGTTTTTAATTTTTCATTTTTGAAACGGGGCTAATATTTTCAATTGCGAAATAGAATTTTAAGGTGCTTATTTGCGAAATTTTGGTTCACAGGAAAGTTTGATCATAAAGCCTCCCAAGAAATCTCCTTTGTTATCGAGGATGGCAGTCCTAGTGTTTACGAGGGTATTCGGCGTTATAACTGCTCCATATGTGTAAACTCTAAAGCAGATAAGTATCCGAACCATGACTATATTTCAAAGCATCAAAGTCATCGAAAGGCCTTTGCACGACATCAAACTACTAGAAATGCCCAAAACTTTTAGCAGGTAAATGAAATCTATTACCCTTTAGATTTGAATTCGGGCAGCGTTGTTCCTTTGGATAAGAGCATCTTCAGCAATGCCCAAGAAATCTTCTCTGTTAAGCATCTGTTTTGGTCTATTTGTAGGGCCGAATGTGCACGCAATCCTGTAATATTCTTTGCAATCTTGTCGATGCAGAGATCGGGGAGTGGATCGTTTGAGAGCTTGTTAAATAGTCTTTAAAATGTTAGCTCTAACGAGGAGATATTCTCGGTTAGGCACAGGAGGGAAAATATATCTTCAATTGTACAGACTCTGAATAAAGTTTACAGTTTGGACTGGTACAGTAGTGCTTCGAAGAATGAGTGCTTTGCCGCAGCTGGCTTCAAGTGGATGCTTAATCACGTATATGTCTATTACTCCATGCCGATAGGTGTATTCTATTATGAAGTAATCTGTTCTGTGATTAGCAGAAACCTTATTCTTTTAGTGATAATTATTAGCAAATGTGAAGCAGTGTGAACCACCATATTGCTACCTAAAGGTTTGTCCATTGTGACCCTAAAAAAACTGGAAATTTAGATTATCATTGCTCCAAACATTAGTATTGTGGGACCATGAATTTTCCTCAGCCCAAGTAGGCGGATCAGAATATAAGTGCCTCCATAGTCTAGTCATGGACTAGACGATTCTGATTGGGTCGAGCCGCATAAATGGGTGAACAATGCCACCACACCCTGTCTGATTCCAGAATGGTAGGCAAGGCTCACATGCCATGTCGAGAACGATCATGCTTGTTCCACAAGATACTGAAACCTAATCCAATTGGGATCATATTGGTTTCCTATATCTTTGGAGATTCCTATAATCTAAGGATTGTCTCGAGTCACAAGTAATCATACTCCTAAAAGAAAATAATATCTTATGCTAGATATTATTTAGGATTCTTCCGACTTTTTACGGATTCACTATCCTAAAAGGGTTCTCTCTCAATTAGTATAGAACACCCATCTGGAATTCATAAAGGTATTTTGATATTGTGCTCTTTGCATTGCATGTCTCTCTCTCGCTCTCTAGCCCACTGCTTGATTTCTAAAACTTTTATTGACTTGACCTTGGGAGACCATTTGGCCGATACCACACTGGTGCCTAGGACTTCACGGTTATATGTTCTCTTTTGTAGGTAGTCGTTCTTGCACTCGTCTATCCACGATGGTGCGTAAATTTGGTTCCAACATCTACTATTATAAATTTCTGTTTCAATCAAGGAGGATAAATTGACCATTATACTATAGAATTATCAGAGATGCGGGCCAAGTTTCCACTTCTAGCAACACCAATACTATCCCCAACTTAGTAATTACCAGGTGTGGGGTTTTATCATAAAAAACATTAGTATTAGTTGGAGTAGGATTAAGATATTTAAACCATTATACTATAGAACCAATTAGTGGGTCACACGTGGGAGATCCACAAATTAGCACTCATGTGGAGCCAAGGGGACTGACCCTACACGCGGGGTCAAGGGACCCACCATCATCACGTGGGGCCAAGGAAACTCACCCATCACGTGGCAGTACAGTACAGGCCTGCTCCTTATCTTTGATATCATGTAGAATTATTAGAGAGGCGGGCCAAGGGCCCACTTCTAACAACATTGATATTGTCCCCAACTTGGTAATTACCACATGCACAATCCGACATGTGTGGGGTTTTATCACAAAAGGTCTCAACATTAGTTGGAGTGGGGTTAAGATATTTAAACTATTATTTCTTTTTTTCTATGGCCAATGTGGGACTCAACATATACAACTTTTAGTTAAATGAGTTTAATAATAATTTTCATGCAAGTGGCCTTTTATCATAGTGATAGAAAAATGTTGAGTCATTGCACGACGACGTGGGTTCAAACCTTGTCGTTAACTATTCTAACACCTAATACTATCCCCAACTTAGTAATTACCAGGTGTGGGGTTTTATCATAAAAAACATTAGTATTAGTTGGAGTAGGATTAAGATATTTAAACTATTATTTCTTTTTTTCAATGGTCGATGTGGGATTCAACACGCCCCCTCACATGGGGCCCAATTAGTGGGTCATACGTGGGAGATCCACAAATCAGCACTCACGTGGAGCCAAGGGGACTCACCTTACATGCGGGGTCAAGGGACCCACCATCATTGCGTGGGGACAAGGGAACCCACCCCCACGTGGCAGTATAGTACGAGCCTGCTCCCTATCTTTGATATCATGAGAATTATTAGAGAGACGGGCCAAGGGCCCACTTCCAACAACATTGATATTGTCCTCAACTTGGTAATTACCATATGCACAATCCAACATGTGTGAGGTTTTATCACAAAATGTCTTAGTATTAGTTGGAGTGGGGTTAAAATATTTAAACTAGGTTAAGATATTTAAACTATTATTTCTTTTTTTCTATGGCCAATGTGGGACTCAACATATACCACTTTTAGTTAAATGAGTTTAATAATAATTTTCATGCAAGTGGCCTTTTATCATAGTGATAGAAAAATGTTGAGTTATTGCACGACGATGTGGGTTCAAACCCTGTCGTTAACTATTTTAACACCTAATCTAACAAAATCTATCATTTGACAAAAAAAAAAAAAAATCCATAACTAAGAGTGAAACAATAATTTTTCATTGACCTACTTTCCCTCGCACCCAAAATTTTCACTTACCCACTATTATAACAATAACTTTCTTTTGCACATACAAAACATATATATGTGGAAGTTACTAGTTACGTAGACTTAATAAGGGATTTGGTTCATAGCCAAATTAGTTTAACAATGTGTTTTGCACATGGACTCAATATGGAGTATAATGCACTACGGAATCTATAAAAACTCACTTAAATATTAAACCAAATACGAACCCTAAGAATCTTTGGATTTCAGACTTGCACATGGACTCAATATGGGGTATAATGCACTCCGGAATCTATACAAACTCACTTAAATATTAAACCAAATACCAACCCTAAGAATCTTTGGATTTCATACTTTGGATTTCATACTTGCACGTGGACTCAATATGGAGTACAATGCACTCCGGAATCTATACAGACTCGCTTAAATATTAAACCAAATACCAACCCTAAGAATCTTTGGATTTCATAATTGTTTAATTCCCCCGAGACTTTGCAATTCCAAATATAAACTTAACTTATGATGGCAGAGTACTGTAACTTGTCATGTTTCCTGTGAAAAAATGAGATGTATACGCACAATCGTTGTACGACGGCTTGTGCAGATACTTCATCATGGTAGGCATGCGGAGGTCGGCTTTTTCGAAATGTGAAGGGATGTACTTTTTATAACACATGGGAGGGGCCGACTGTAAAAGTAATAAGAAACTTTTGGCAGCGTGCATGGTTAAAGCTAGCCGCTAAAACTTGGAGTAGAATTCTTTCTACTTTTATTCTCATTTTTTTTCTTCTCGTCTCATATATATATATATATATATATATTTATAAAAAAATTAATATAAATTGTTAATGTAACTTAAAAATTTCTGTTCAAATAAGAAGATAAAAAAAAAAAAAAAAGATTAAAAAAGAAAAGAATCCTCCACTAAAAACTTTGGGAAAATTTGAAATAGGTCCAATTTTATAGGCCATCTTTTGAAATAGGTTCAATTTTTAGTGACTTTTAACTTTTGAAATAGGTCCAATTTTTAGTTACTTTGGACCCATATCAAAAAACCCCTAAAACTTTCACTCCTCCGCAAACAAATGAAACCAGATGGCTGCAGGTAAGATACGAATAATATATTTAGTAGTTTTTTTCCAGCAATGTTGGGGGTTTCGGTTGGAAAGCTGATGAGCTTGTCTCACTGAAAAGATTTAATATTTTGTGTTGGTGAAGTACAAAATGTATTTAAGAGTAAAATTATAGAGAAAGTTCTATAAATTAAATAACATGAAAGTTGATGATTTGATTATTATTTAAGTGCTAATTAATATGTTTACTTTTTATTGATGACACATCATTTAGTTTGTAAATTTAATATACAAATTTAATCTACCTAGAATTACTCTATATTTAAAAAACAGAATTGTAATGTGAAAAAAATTATTTTCCAGAACGTGAATGGTGGAGAATTAGAGCAAATTGTCC